ATCTTCTCGGTCGCTGCACAAGATTTCTCACTCAACGACTCTGCGAGGATTTATTATGCAAAACCTCTCCAACTCGCCTTCTCATTTCCGCGACTTGTCTGGTCCTCAAACAACACATTCTTGTTTATGTAAACATCAAAATATTTTTTCGGGTCACCTACTACCACGTAGCCGACACGGGGCAACAACGACACCCAAGATGGACCCGGAAAGATTGTAGAGAAAGTGAACAGATTGTTATTTTTTCGTTTATTTTACACGTTGCCAACGCGAAGGTCGTATCTGTAGACCAAAATAATCATTCGACACGTTTGTAAAAGATAAAGAAAGAAGGAGAAGAAAACACGAGGAAAAAGACACGAATAGAAAAGTCGTTCAGCTTTCTCCTTGCGTTTTTGTCGCTCGGGAGCAACTGGGCATCTTAGATCTCGCTGAAACGTCCTCAGAATGGAGTAGTTTAACTTAACTGCTATATAGGAGCTATATACATCAGGTTAGCGATAATTATAAGAATCTCTGGAGGCATTTTGGCCAATCAAAAGAACCGACGAGACACACACACAGATAGACAAACAGACAGACACGAGGAGCTGAAGGGACTACTCACTATATACTATCGTTTCATAGCAGACCGTTACTCTTATAAAATAATCATAACCAGACTCAGTTAGATTAAAAATCAGCAGAAGACATCTGTACAAAATTTGATCTTTCAATGATCCTACACCGTCTACACATTTTTCATACTAAAGGGTTTATAAACTATACTACATCTCTAATACTATAGGTTTTATTTACAATATGGGTAATGAATCAAAATGGCTTAAATGGCTCAGAGTTAAAATAGTAATATGATTTCTGAAACGTTTACAAGATCTTCACGTACCAACATAGAGAATTCCTACCGAAACTTCCGCAAGTGAAAAAATTAAGCAACTTTGTTAACAACATTTAATGTCCAACTTTTGCTTCGTTCTCTTTTTTTGTAATTTATCTGTTCACTTTGGAAACTGACTCGCATCTGAATTCAATTCCATTCGAAACAACAACGATGTATTTTCGAATCAGAGTCCCAATTACAAACACGAATTTACACGAATCACTTCATTATGTTAAACCATCAAATATCCCCATAAATACAAGAACTTATGCTATGTTCAGGTAAGAGTGACACGAATCCAATCCTTCCTTAACATGTGAAACCTCATAAATACTGGCAGTCTCTCATCGCTAGTTGCAGGTGTGGACTGTCACATCACGTATACAGGTTCTGCACTTGACATAGCAGCACCAGTGGAACTTGCAAGAACAGCGCTCCTTCACCCGCTCCTGTGATGCGACGTAGCCTCTGTTGCAGCACAGCAAGTCACACCCGTCCAGGCCACGCGACGTCTGCAAGAAAAGGCGTCGGTCTGATTATACAAGCAGGGGAGCAGCTAGCAATCAGTGCTTGGGTATGTTTTACTTTATTTGCATGCTGATATGGAATGGAGCTGAGGGAGTTTTTTTTTTTTTATCAGGAGAATTAATTACGTCACTGATTTTTTTT